TGGCATAATAAGGTGAGCAACATTGAGGTTAGGCGTAGAGTTCTAGGTAAACAGGGGAAATCAATCGACGAAGTCGTGAAGTTACAAAGACTGAGATGGTTAGGACATGTGTTACGTATGCCTAGTCATCGCCTTCCTCGACGAGCAATGTTAGCTGATATAGGGTCAGGCTGGAAAAAAGCTAGCGGCGGTCAAACAAAAACTTGGCACCAGTCAATGAAATCCACAACAGTTGGTCTAAGCCACGTAGGAAGGTGTAGACTTCCAGGCTGGGGTCCTCGGGACGGTAAAAATCAATGGTTGGAAACAATTGGTGACATGGCTCAAAATCGTTCTCAGTGGCGCAGATGCATCCACTCCTTGTGACTTATGATCTCTAATGAAACTGTTTTGTTCTTCGTTATTACTCTTCCTTTGTCTCACACCTCTGTTTACTGTCTTTAATATGCATTTCTTCTACTTTCTTCTCTTGCTTTGTGTGCTACAACAAGGAGGGAGTGTGGCGACTTGAACTTCCGCACATTTGTGCATAGTTCTATGTCGAAAACAGTGAGACAGACAATGCAATGGTGCTTCGTGTACATTGGTTTCTCTGTTGAACAAATTGAGTGGTGTTCTTATCGTAGTCTGTATTCTTGACTTCTCTGATCTAGGGTATGCTGCATTCAGATTTCTAAGTTTCTCAAACTTCTGGATTTGTCTTTGTTTAGTAGTTTTGGTGGGATTTTTTTATTTACTGGTATTTCTATGTCTGATGCATTTGATATTATGAAATATGCATTAGGAAACAATCAGGAAATATTAGCTAAATGTTCATTATCAACAGAAGACATTATAAGATGCCTGAACTTTGTTTGGAATCTCTTTATTTTAATTTTTAAGACAAACTATACTATCAGACAAATGTAGTTGCAATAGGATCAACAGCATCGCCAATTGTAGTAAATTTGTAAATGAAAGGTTTTTATTTGTCATCCTAGAATATGGTACAGATATGTAGACAACGGTGTGTCGGTGGTTCAGTGGTATAATACTGTTCAGCCACGCAAGTTGTCCGGGGTCCAATCCTCTTCCTTGCTTAGCCGGTTATAGTAAGCCAGGCAAAGAGGGAAGGTTGGGTATGAAACTAGCAATCCCATCCCGTAAAAAAGCACTGCTGCTGCAACTTCAAAGCTGTAGCTTGAAGCCTTATGTTCCACTGGGAACACAAAGGAATAATATAAATAATAATATTAATGTAGACGACACATTTCTCAGTTATTAAGAAAGCTGAAAAGGGGAACTTTCTCGAACAAATTAACTCCATTTCAAAATGTATAAATTCTACAAATGAGGTTGAATCGGTTGAGGGAACTGGGAACCTTCTTGATTGTCGCCGGTGGCACAGCGGTTAGCACTCTCACCGATCATGCACATGCTGTGGAGTTCGATCCTCTACCGACTCACACCTGATATCTATGGTCGGCCTGCAAAATTTGGGCTACCGATATCAAATGCTGAAAATTTCATAATTGTATCAAAAATACGGTGTGGAGTCAAGCTGTAATAAAAAAAACTGACTGAAAAATAAAGTTCAACAACTGCATCTATAGGAAAAGTGGTCAAAACGTGAAGCTTACCATATGAAGGAAAGCAGTAGAAATGTTAAGGTCAGAGTGAATGAACACAGACTGCACACGAAACGTCCGCCTAGAAATGAAGTATAATTAAAGAGACTCGAAAAAAGTGGGCATAAGATCGATTTTGACAATATTGAAATTCTAGGGAACGGCTTGCATTCACATGAAGAAGCATTGACCTCTGAAGCCTTACATATCTGAACAAAGTCGATGCAATAGATAGGAGATAGATAGACTTATCACCAGTAGGCTGTAATACATCATAAGAAGTGGAGAAAATTTATTCATTCCTATATTACGACTACTGGAAAATATTGTCATGATTTTCACATGTTGAATTGACGTGTGAACAACATACACACAAAAAGACAAATATGCACATATGACAATTTGACACTAGTCATTACAAATACTTGATGACTGTTTGCATTTTTCTATTGGTACAAGTGTCTGCCGACAGGTGACCTTCAAGTGAGTTTAGTTTATGTAGTTTTTGACTGCATATGCTGATGCTAAATAATATCTTAATAATAATTCTCCTGAAGATGTGCCTTAACTGGAGAAACGTTCAGAAACAATCTTGTTTTGATTTAACATATCAGTAAAACTTGGGCACCGTGGTAGTAAGTAATTCCATATTAGTTTGTTTATTAGATGTATCACACAGTGGATTTCTCAGTAACTACCGCATTAACAAAAACCAATCAGCTGACTGAATTCCAACATACAAGTTTGCACAGAAATGCAGCACTGCAAGTTGCTACACTCCGTATACCTCACAAAGGCACACAAAAAACAAATTTAAACGAACTTCATTGAGTGAAAATCTACGGGCCAAAGAATAGTAATATGAAAAAACATGAGGACTTACACGGACTTAGGTCATTACAAAGAGGGAATATACGTGCACCATTGGATACGATTTCCAGACATATCACTGAAAGTGTTCAGCTATTTGATCTTAATATCTTAAGAATCTGAATCAGCCAGGCAGTCAACACTTACCTACGCGGCTACTTGAAGCAACTACCAAAAACTTCATAGACTGATGCGAAGTTTTGATTTGTCCATCCCGAACTCTTTTTCAACCTAGTCTTATATCATCTAAGATCGCTCGTCGGGGAAGGCTATGGCTCGGTATGCATAACACGTGTTTTTGATGTGATTATGAGCAATAGTTTGTGCTCGAAACGTCATCCGTTAATATTACTGTATAACACTGACTTATCAAAATAAAATCTTATCCATACCGTGTCCTAGCCCTTTCAATCAGCGCAGCTTCACAATTCCATCGGTTGCCTTTCATCCTTTGTCTGGCACTTTGCTCCTAACTGTCTCAATTTTACACATACTATAGCATTAAATAGATGAGATAAAATGTAAACGCCAGTTAACTCTTGGTTTTTCCCATAGCAGACAATTATGTTATGATTTTTATTATTGTAGTGTATAACTTGTTCTAAGCAGAAAGAAGAGGCAGGACAAACAGTGGCTCACTGCGGACACTTGGAGACTAATAGAAGAGAGAAGGGTGGTGAAACAAAAGATTATCCAGTACACCGACGAGCAACAAAAACAGGAGCTGAATGCAAGCTACAATACTCTGAACGAAAGGGTAAAGAAGAGTGCCAGGGAAGACAAAAGAAAATATTACGAAGCCATGAAAAGTAAAGCAGAACAAGCTGCAGTCAAAGGAGACCTCGCCACACTCTACCAAACAACTAGGCACCTATCGGGCAAAAGTTCGACACAGATTAAGCCAGTCAAGGATGACAATGGAAAGTCAATCACCAAAGAAAACACTGGGTTGGACACTTCAAAAGATTTCTAAATCGACCGCCACCTACAACGCGCCTAACAATATCAACAACGGAAGCAGAACTACCAGTGAACATCGACCCTCCGACACAATCAGAGGTCCTGAATGCAATCAAGATGCTAAAAGCTGTAAAAGCAGCAGGACCAGATGGAATCCCAGCAGAAGCATTGAAAATGGACCCAGAGACAACAGCGGACTTGATGACGCGATTGCTGGAGAAGATATGGAAGGAGGGCAAAGTACCCGGGGATTGGAAGAAAGGATACTTATTCAAACTACCAAAGAGAGGAGACTTAAGTCAATGCAAAAACTGGCGCGGAATTATGCTCCTGTCCATCCCAAGCAAAATACTAAGCCGCATCATCCTGGAGAGAATCAAACACGCCGACCTGGATGAAAAACTTCGACCGGAACAGGCAGGATTCAGGAGGAACAAATCATGTATTGATCAAATCGCCACATTATGGATCATCAATGAACAGAGCTTAGAATGGCAGTCACCTCTCTATTTCAACTTCATCGACTTTGAAAAGGCCTTCGATAGTGCAGCGTCGAACAACGGGTCATTTGGCAACGACTTTGGTACAACGGGGTGCCATCGACAATTATACATCTCATCCAACAGTTATACGACAATGCTGCATGCCAAGTAATCCACAACGGGAAACTTACGGAAGCCTTCGAAGTGAGGACGGGATTGAGGCAAGGCTGTCTACTATCGCCAATGATCTTCCTCACTGCAGTAGATTGGATAATGCGACAGACAACGGGCAATGAGGAAACAGGCATAAAATGGACTCACACAAAAAACTTGGAGGATCTGGACCTCGCCGATGATATCCCACAAACTGGAAGATATGCAAGTGAAAAGCAACAAGTTGATGACGGATTTTCAACTCTAATGTGAAGTCAGGCAGTGCTATTTTACGGATCAGAGACTTGGCGCGTCATAAAGAGTATCTTAAACAAACTTCAGACCTTCATTAACAGTTGTCTTCGCTCAATACCACTCAAGATCAGATGGACAGAAAAGATCAGCAACAGGGATCTCTGGGAGCGAACCAACCCAGCAGGAACCGATTGTGAAACAAATAGGCAGGAAGAAATGGAGATGGATTGGCAATAAGCTGAGGAAATCATCAAGTGACATCACTAGGCAAGCCATTGCTCGAGTGGATCCCGAAAGGGAAGCGGCGAGTTGGTCGTCCCACGGTTGGGTGACTTGGAGGAGGTCATGTGAAGAGGAGATGAAAGTATGTGGGCAGACTTGGAGCGGGGTGAAAAAGTTGGCAGAAAACCGAACGCAATGGAGACGCGCAGCTGAAGCCCTATGTTTCTCTAGGAATTAAAGGATATAATAATAAATAATAATAATAGTGTATAGTTTCAGTGTTCGATCTTTGGTGAACATCTTGTCTGTCTTCTTCGTCGTTATTTTCCCTATGTTCTTATTTTTTCTTCTGTTTTACTTTTTATCTCGGATATGGCGTTAATCTCATCACTCACCCATTATTCACCATCAGTGATGTGTTATTTGTGTTTTTCTTTCTCTCCATTCACAGATACAAGTTAACAACAACAACAACATCACCACCACCATTATCATCATCATCAACAGCAGCAGCACAACAGTCTAAAAGTATTCCAGATTATAGTAATGGGCTACTAGTAGTGCTGCCAGTGCTTTGTATTGTTCTGGTTTTGCTCACTATACATCTACAAAGATGACAATGTATACCATCACTTTTTTGAGACTAATCAATGATGATGAGGAGGGAACTCAGCCTTACTAGATTACATTCTCATAGATTATCACACATTATATGTATATATATATATTATTTTGTTTAAATTAAATTCCATTTTTTGGTCTATTTATTTCAAATTTTATTAAGTATATCCATATTTATTGATAAATTACGCATCTACGCTTGTTGATTGATGATTAGTCAGCTGTACGTTTTGAGTACATGTTACGCTTGCGCCGATAACTGCTACCTTGTCGTGGTGATCGGGCTTGAATACCGTAATGACCCAACATGCTAAAGTGACTGGGACCCTACAGGTCCGACCATGTCAGGAAGGTTGTTTGGATAGCGGTTAAACTAAAAGCAGTTACCATGGTGTACATGGGCTTCAGTATCCAATCGGATCAAATGGCGTATGAACCCATATGGCTCACTGGCAACTATGGAAATGCAGCTCCTGACGCTGCTCCGCTGCCTTGCGGATTAGACTCTAAGTCAAAGGCTCGTGGGGTGGTCCCTTAATAAAACCACCTGCTTCGGTCAGTCCTCACACAATGAATTGAATAAAGCAACAAACAATCAATGAAACTTATCACGTGCTATTACACGTGTTGCAATTTCCTTCTTTCTTCCCTTCCCGGAGATAGTTAACAAATACTGTTTGACTGTTTTCCTTCCAGATGAAGTTCTTTATCCGTTCTCTACTTTATATATATATATATATATATATTTCTCTTCTTTTTTTCTTTCTTTCCATGTTGTTTTATTATTATTGTGTGGCGCATCCTTCTTGGTGCCATACATTGTACCAAGTTTTTTGCGTTTAAATAAATAAATACCTAAGACTTTCACCGTTAATCTCTTATCAGTGTTAAGGCGGAAAAATCACTTCTTGACTGGATCCCAGTAGATAGTCGTATGTGTGCAGTTCGTCTGAATGGGTCCGTCAAAAGAAGGAAAGACAGCGCTACCCGTCGTTGCCTTTTCGTAGTCTCCGCTGAAGCTCCGGATGAACTAAAGGATGACTTCTACCCGGAACTGTCTAATTTGCTGCAAAAAGCAAAACGTTCAGATATGGTTGTTTTAGCAGGCGACTTCAGTGCCCAAGTACGGAAGTTGTGCCAGACTGAGAAGTATGTAGGTGGTCCGTATGGAGTTCCCTGCCGACAATGGTGATCGTCTTTTACAGTTTTTCTCAGATAATCATGTTTCTAGTCAGCACTAACTTTAGGCACAAGGAGAAACTTTGTGTAACCTGGCGACCTCCATCGGCGATTCAACGCTGGACTCAGATAAACCACATAGCCATAGGGTATCGTTGGCGAGGATCAGTAGAAGACTGTCGCTCCTTCTGGAACACGTGCGTAGACTACGATCACGTTCTGGTTCGCGCACGTTTATGCTTACGACTAAACGGACATAAGAAATTGACGGCAGCGAAACAGTTACGTCCCCAACTAGATCGAGACACTGAGTCCCTATTTAAGGAAGAAATAACGAAACGAGTGCCTGAGGTCGACAGCAGGACTTCCCCTGAGGTAACCTGGCACAACATACAGTTAGCTGTAGACACAGTTGTAAAAGCTGTTAATATGCTAAAACCAAGAGATAGTAAGAGCCATTAGATCTCTACCGCCTCATCCGAACTGATCGACGCAAGAAGACTGATTCTGGCGCGCTCCGATTATGATGAGGAGCGAAAGCTACTCAAACGAAAACTAGCAAGAAGACTTCGAAACGACCGTGAACAGTGGTGGGTGACAAAAGCGAAAGAGATGGAAAAGGCATCGGCGATTGGTAACACCAGACAACTATTTAGGCTTATCAGAGAAACAGGTGGTAAAAGGCAAATGATAAGTGAAACAATCTCTGAGAAGAATGGTACTATAATTAGCTCTCAGTATAGATGACTGGAACTCTGGAAACAGCACTATGAGGAGCAGTTTAATTAGCCTACATCTACGCTCAATCTGCCGAACATCCAACACCTCCCTGAATGGGATATAGACACAGGTCCTCCGTCCATAACTGAGGTTACTAAAACTGTCACCAGTCTGAAACAAAGCAAAGCAGCAGGACCTGATGGAATGACTCCAGAGGTATTTAATACGATGGAGACAGCCTACTTTCTGCATTAACTGAGGTACTAGGCAGCATCTGGGGATCAGAAGAAGTCCCATCGGGTTGGTGTAAGTCACTGATTATCCCAATATACAAGAAGGGAGACAAGTCTTCCTGTGATAATCACAGAGGGATTAGCTTGACTAATATAGTATCTAAAGTCCTAGGCTCAATAATCATGCGTAGACTAAATGGTGCTTGGGAGGCACAAACACAAGAAAGCCAGGCAGGCTTTAGACCAGGAAGAGGGTGTATTGATCATATCTTCACCCTCCGACAGATTCTAGAACATAGGGATTCCTACCGGCGTCCAACAGTCATTATATTTCTTGACCTAAAGGCGGCATTCGACCCTGTCGATCGAGAAGTTCTCTGGCGATGCTTGGCTGTAAAGGGAATGTCGAGAAAATATATTGCACTGATTAAGGCACTCTACTCGTACTCATACAGCCAGGTGAGGGCTTACGGCGAGTTGTCATCTGAACTGGTGACGACTAGTGGTGTCCGTCAAGGATGCCCATTATCCCCTTTTCTATTCAACTTCATCATAGATGTGTTAATGGACTTAACCCTAAGTGACTTCAACGACTCAGGGATTGACTTGCTATCACCAGGGAATAATCTCGTTGACTTGGAATATGCAGACGATATAGTCCTTCTAGGCGAAGACGCTGACAAAATGCAGAGTCTTCTAAACACCTTGAGCCTTAGATTTCTCGGTGATTGAATAGATGCACTAGGGTGTTCATTTCTTCTGATCTTGATTTTTCTCTGGCGAGTTTCTTTTGATGTACATCACATTCCAAGCATTTTATTTTATAGATACAATTAGACTGAGAATCCTTTGGAATTTGGTCTTTTACATGAAAACGGTTGCTTTGTAGTTTCCAATTTTTTGAAGAAAACTCTGATGTTGTGTTTATTTAGTACTCTTTTGGTATGACCTGACATTTCTGTTCTACATGGAATGACAACTGTTGAGGTCTATGTCTTCGGAATAAGCCTTCGACAATATTTAGTGTTTGATATTTCTTTATTTCCTTTCTCATCTGTTACAAAGAGTGTGCTCGTTTAAGAAGACATGAAACGACTGATACATTTGCACTAGTGGCGTGTGGTGATCCAAAGTCTAAATATTTGTTGGAGTGTCTTCTCTTCCTGAATACAGATATATACTAAAATATCCATTTTCTTTCCTGTTAACTAGGTAGTCTAGAAAAGGTAGCTCACCGAGGTCAGATTCTGTTTCCGAAGTAAACTAGATGCTATATATACTACTTTGATGAGTAATATAAACAGCATTAAATAGCGAAACCCCATTCATTAGGAAGTACAAAAACTTTTATTATAATGAATACTACATACATAACGAATTTCTTCAAACTGTTAAAAGTGCAAACAAATAAATTTGAACTTAGTCAGAATTTAACAGTATTAAGAGCAAGGGTATTCAACAAAAGAATAAGTCTAACTGGTTTCATCTATTCACCGTAACAAAATTTGAACGTCATTACACGCCAAAGCATTAAATTAAACAATGGTAGTAAATCATAGTATTAAAGACGTTTTTGAATTTATTGCTAACGAGGATGATATCAATGTGAATGGGAAGCAAGTGCTTTCCTTAGATGTAGCATCACCAATTATGGAGACTGTGGAATTCATATGCCAACAGATACTAGAAAAACAGATCGACATCGGAATTCCAGTTATTAGTCTGAAAGAGTTGCTTTTAAGATGTACTATGAATGTACACTTCATACTCAACAACCTTTACTACAGGTAATTCGACGGTATTGCCATGGATTCTCCATTAAGGCCAATTTTGACAGATTTCTTTCTTGCCAAGATTGAAAATAGTCCATTGAGACAAGTAATAGAGAAAACCGATTCTTATTTTCGTAATGTTGATGATACCCTTATTATTCTTGATGTGAAAGCTGACAAGAATGAAATGTTAAAAAAGTTTAGTGATGCACATCTATCGCTCATCTTCACTTGTGAGGAAGAACATGATGGTAGACTACATTTCCTTGATGTCCGATTGAGCAGAAGAGAGGATGGTTCACTCAAGAGAGATGTCTATAGAAAACCTACATCTGTAGGACAATATACACATTTCCTCAGTTTTGTACCAATCCGATACAAAATCAATTTGGTCAGATGCCTGACGAATAGAGCAAGACGTATCTGTACAGATGACTTCCTGGAAAATGAGCCAGGATACATCCAAAATACGTTGGTTCAAATGAGTTATCCTAGTAGTTTTGTAAGGAGACACATGAATGCCAAGTACAATAAAGAAAAACCGACAACAGTTAAAAAGAAACAACTAATCATGAAACCGAAATTTAATGGAGACGTGGTTAGTGAAGTCTTACATCTGAAATTATTGAGAGCGATAAAACGGACTTATACTGCCACCACCCTTTGTTTGTCATTTTCCAGCCCACCAATTTTGATTCCTCAAGTGAAAGATAAGCTACCTAGCTCTGCCACTTCGATGTGTATCTATAAATTTAGTTGCTCCTATGGAGAAAGCTATATAGGCCGAACAACTGGACAGCTTAACAAACGCATTAATGAGCACCTTCCTTCATGGTTCGGAAAAAGTCAAATGAAATCCATACGAAGTTCGATTTTGGCTCATTTGATTGATAGCGGTCACCAAGTGGACAAAAATAGCGCCTTCAAAGTTATCTATCGCATTCCATCGAGTCTTTCGAACGGAATCAGAACTCGTCTTTTACACTTAGCCGAATCTATGGGAATTAGACAGAACAATCCAAAGTGTCTTTGCATACAAAAGAAATTTGTCCTACCTTTGTCCCTCCCTTGGCCTAGGTGAATTCTATTCAA